CAGCAAGAATAGCCGGATAATTTGAAAAGTGAGAAGAAAATCAATTACTTGTTTTTATTTTAAAAGAGCCTCCCTGTGGGAATAAGTGTGGGTGTGAGAGCTCTTTTTAAACTTCATAATATAATATGAAGCAGCCAAGATATTTTTTTTTAAGTAGTGTCATGTCATTGCTCTGCTTATTGGGTGCCAGAATGAATGTTCTCTATTTATGATTCTACTGATTCTTATCAAAACGCATCTGTGAAGCAATTAACACTAACATTTAAAAACAGAATATTTATTCAAACAGCAACACTAAGTAAAACACAGTTTGAAGGCTGCTATGCGAGTTCACTGATAATAGCAAAAGTCTATTTACCCAGTTACCCCCAAGTTCTGCATGCAGTAGGTTTCTCAGATTTTTGTCTGAACAAACCAACATTTTCAGAGAATTGAGATCTGTAGGTAAGGTTTACAACTAACCTTGCTGTCTTCGAGCTCCTGGGTTTTTCCTCGAAGTGCTCTCCTCTCTCCAAAATCACAGGTTGACTTTAATGTGAGCTGACAAGAAAGCATCGAGCTCTCCGCCCCAGTAAGCTCCAAAGCCTTTGGTGAGTACTGCTGCGAGGCGGCGGGGCCAAGGCTGGGTATCGGGAGGGCAGTGTGAACAGGCTTTGACCCTACGGCTGGCTGTCTTAGCTTGGAGGCAACCCCAAGTACAGGCATGGCTTCTATAAAAGTATCTTCTTGCTGCCAAAAAAAATGCTCCTGACCTCAGTCTGGTAGACTCCAGCTTCAGCAATTCCAGAAAAAATACTTTAAACAAAAGTAGCAGTCATCTTTTCAAAAACGTCCTAAAAGAATAATATTACGAGTTTCATAAGGAAGCAAAACTTTTCCTTCATCTCTCCCCTTCTCCCTCACAGCCACTCACACACGCTGCTCAGTGAGTCAGTGGCTCTGTAAGACTAAACACTCCTTTGGGGCGTGAACTTTTCTTGAAGGTAACTGCCACAGAGCTGCCTGTCTGGGATTAAAGAACTCATAAATTTGCTTCCTCTTCTTCCTACAGCATTCCAGGTCTGTGTCTTAAGTGAATGAGGGACAGGAGAAAAGGAGGGAGAGAAAAGATGAAATCTCCCTGCACTCCAACTGTCAAAACAGCTCCGAGACCACAACACTGGAAACAGAGACCTCTTCCTGACTACATAAATAACCAGCCCACATCTTAAAAAAACCCAACCAAACGTCTTTTTTTTTTTTTTTTTTTTTTTTCTGATTAAAAAAAAAAAAATAATTAAAAAAATAGACCTGAGTAGCGGCCAAAGCAAACAGCTGTTGGAAGAGTTTTTATCCCGGAAATAATCTCAGCAATGAAGCTGTTTGTCTAATTCCTGGCTATTTTTCACTGCTGACAACCATGAGCTACAGCGTTACCTTCCCTGTTCCTCCCGTGAAATCATGCAAGAGCGTGGCTAGGAACAGACGCTGAATCACAGTGTGGGTAACGTCTGTCTGTGCTGTGAAAAATCTATACAAAAACATAAAGCAGGATATAGGAAAATCACAAGCATTGTTAGCAGATTTAGTCAATACAGCTTTTCAGAGTTCTTTTTTTTGTTTCTTTCTCAGTGGTGGTGCTAACGTCATCTATTCAATGTTAACACTTCCCTTTCTAAAAACATTTAAAGCTCCATGAAGTCCATGTCCAAAGCATCATTTCTGCTTGTTGCTCATAGAAATATTCTTGCTGGCAATCTCAAATCCTTGTACATGGAGATACAAGACAGATAGCCAAGCAGAGCAGGCTGTAAAATGAGTCACAATGGACAGTCCAAATTGCTGTGAAGCATGAATGCTTACTTGAAAGGACAAGTGTAAATTCCTTTGAGAGCCTATAGCAGGGAAACCCATTTTAAACTGTGTTATAAGGATAAGAAAAGTGCAGAAATGCCACAAAAATAAAATCCCATGGGATATTATCACCTAGTGTTATGGACAAAAATCCTGCACGTTTTACTTGTTATCTCTTCCAAAACAAAACATAGACAGAAAGGATGACCTGAATCTTATTCTGCCACTAATATCCTACATGGTGCTAATTAAGCCCTCACTGAATAGTATGTACTATTAACACTATAGATGTAAGCCCAGGAGAAAATAAGAGCTTCTGGACTTCTAAGTTGTCAAATTAAGGATGCCAAGAGTTATAAAAAGCATTAGAAAGAAAACAGTGTAAGTGGAAAGCAGACTGAAAGATCCTCTTAAATCACCCTTTGAAATTATCTTGTAGACTAAAACTGCAATACATAATATCATCCTCTATCTTTTGTTTACAAATAACACACTGACACAGTAGTTTAAAAATCAGCTTTCTGTATTGACTTATGTGCTATCCCATTCTTGTTTTTAGGAGTGAATCTGACCTGGTCTAGGAATCTCCTGGGTTTTGAAGTGTGTGTACAAAGGATCAGCAAACCCATTTCAACATTTGCTGCTTATCTTTTCTTTGGTTCCACCACAGTTAACAGTAGCTACCATGGGCTTTATGCAAGACTGCACAGAGGTAACTGCTCTGCATTTTAGATGAGTTCAGCTCACAGGGTCCAACACTCTGCTCCAACAAGTGGAATATTCTTGTTTGGTATGACATTTCAGGTCTGGTGCAAAGCAAAGAGTAAGAAAGCTCCTTGTGCAGTCCACATTTGTTCTCCAGCATCATAAAGCACTGTGGCTGTGTAAGGATTTAAGTTTCTTAGGCACAACTGTTAACAGTTAACGCTTTAGAAAATGCACATATGCAAAGGCTGAAGCGAACTACAGGAAAAGAGGGATTTATCTGTTGCAAGGTCTGGGGAGATGAAAAATCCTCATGAGGACTGTTAACCAATGATCAAAACAAAGAATAAACTAGAGTCTTGAGACAGATACTTTCTTTAAAAGAACTTTGCCAAAAAAATGAAATTTAATCTTATTACTTCTCAGGGTTATAATTTTACAAAGTAATGCGTTATGGTAATCTTGCTGTTCTTCTTTTGAATACGAATGATGAAGTCATGATACCCACAGTCTCTTTTGCAACCCATTTTCCCAGCACAAAAACCTTAAAAGTAGTAAGTAAGCAAGCTTCCTAAGAGAGAGTCATCTGTAATACATAACCAACAGGGTTTGGAAGCAATGATATGAAGCTAGTGTCACTTTTTCAAAACAATTATTTGTCTTTCAAAATAATAATTATAGTATGACTTCAAAACCTCCGTTTAGCTAGAATTTTTACAATAATAAAACCCAGAAGGGCTTCTGGCCTACCAAAGATACAAAGAATACAGTTAGACTTTATCTTGAAGGTCTTTTCCAACTTTAATGATTCTACAGTTCTATGAAAGGAGAATCTACAAGATTATTTGGAGAAGTCAGGAAAGGTAATGAAGGAAAACAATAACAATATACCATAGGTAAGAATGTGGTTACAATCCTGACTGCAAGTTTGGTCTTCCTTTTTTGTTTTCTCTCGTTCCAATCCTAAGCAAAGGATAAATAAACATCTGCTGTCCTTTGAAATCACTTAGCTACATGTTTCATTTGAGAGGCTTTTGTGTAGCTTGTGATGCATGTGGGTTTTATGAAGGATATCAGGGGAAAAGAATATTTCATAGCTAAGTTTCAGTAGTGTTTTCCATGCAAACAGGAAAATACAGGGTATAGCATCTGTGGATAACACGCACAAACTGGCATCAAATGCAGGTGCTGGTGGTGGAGTTGGACGGGCAGGGGATGGCACCACAGGCAGAAGGTGTCTGGGCCCACAAGGATTCTGTAAAGGGAGGAACAGGACATAACTCTGAGGAAAGAGCAAACTGGAAGCTTCAAAGAAGCCTTGTTTGGCATCAAACCAGCAATGTGAGTTTCGTAGGATTGTCCTCAGTAGCTCTGTGATGCAGTGCTAAGTGACCATCAAACAGGGCTACAAGGGAGAATCCAAGGAAGGAATGAGGGTGATTTAGGTATGTGTGAATAGCATCCAAACAAAAATAAGGTATATCTGTGAGAAACCATGGGTGGAGAAGTTGCAAGCAGTGGCTATAACCTTACATGAAATCAAAGACAACACCAAACCACCAGGTATGAGGAACAAAAGTACTGTTGGTGGGATAGAGAAAATAGTGAGTAAAAAGATATGGCTGACAGAAACAAGGGACACATTTCTTAGCTGCATAAAGCTGATAGAGACATATGTAGAAAGGGATTGCAAAAAAACAGGTCGGGCTAAACATTGTACAGAGAGAGAACCTGTAGGATTCTAATGTAACTGCTTAGACACTCATCAGCTTAGACGTTCAGAATCCAGGCAGGCAGGGGACATCTTTTGGATTCAGGATGCCAGAGGATGAGCACAGATCATGGCTGAAGCCCTAACACAGGGGAAATGATGAAGCTGAGCAGGAAAAGTTAGAATTATGGGGAAGCTAGAAGACAACTGAGCTGTGGAAAAAAACAGAGGGCAACATTTCAAGTGGGATGTTAGATAAGGAGATAAAAGTGGAAAGAGAGACCAAAAAATGAGAAAACAGAGCAAAGGTTAAAACACAATTCTTAGTAGTCTTGCCAACAGTAGTGGCAGTTCCAGAGAAATGTTGAAGGCAGGACCATTTCTTTAGCTAATGATTAAAAATGATGACAGTCTGGCTATAAAGCACATCCCTGAAAGCATCAAGCAATTAATGTTTTTACAGAAATTAGTCAGTTAGATGAATGATCTGTACCTCAAAGTAAGGCAGCATGTATACACTCAATATAGTAATTCCCACATCCCAGAAAAACTTTTATTATTTCTTTCATATCACAAGAGTAAACATGCCTGAAATCCAAGCCATCTTATAAAATAATCTCTCTATCATTTGTACTATTAGATGAATTTTTCCTTTCAATATTTAGAAGAAATAACCATTTACAGCACAATACTCCAGCATAAATTTCCTTTGCTTGGTCACATCTGATAGCAGAATGAGTCCCATGAAGGCTGTTCCCCTTGTGTACCCCCAGCCCTCAGACAAACTGCTCACATGAACCAAGCAGACAGCTGGCGGTGTCTCCCAGACCACAGGAAATATCAAGAGAGGGGACACCTGCCTCAAAAGTGGAGCCAAGAGATTTGTTTGCTCCTTCTGGTTTATGATCTTCGACAAGGAAGCTTGTTGCATGTGTCCAGGGTCAAACAGGAAATGTCAGGGGTCCAGAGACTGCAGAGGTCTGTTCTGAGCTGTTTCCCTACTTCATCCCACTGGTATAACAGCTGTGGCTCTAGCTTACATGAGCCACGCTAACTTCTGAACTAGCTTGAATGTGTTGATACAATCACACAGTTTTGCATGCACTGATTTCATGTTGAGCATAAATTTTCCCCAGCTGGGGACACAGAACCCTTGAAAAGCAACCAACAATACTAAAATACTGGACGTACCTGAAACAGCTTTTCTGATTCAATAAAGCCAGGTAAGCCAGGTTAAACTTCTCTAAAACAAGCAAGAAGCATATTGTTTACCTGTTCGGCATAATGAAATATGTTCTATCTGTCAAATAACAATGAGGCAAATTGTTCAGCCCTGAATCATGTTCACAGCATAATTCCATCACACTATTTTTGTTATATAAAAAGTTAGGTGACTCCATTAGTCTCAAGGTAAGGCAAGTAAAATGTATTTAATCCTATCTGCAAGTAGGTAATGTCACTGTGTAAGCTTCTATTGTTTCTCTTAACAGTTGGGAACTCCAAAAGATATATAATCCAAAGCCTAGTTACAGTCACAGAAAAAGGTGCATCCGGCTTCCTAAAGGAAATCCTTCTGCTTTGGCTAAATGTTTGGGGAAGTATTTCAAAGAGGACAACTTTTAAATAAGGATATCGTTTTATCCTCTGAACAGTTTGGCCCTTCAAAGCTGAAGCAGGAGCCTATGGTTTTGAATGCATTAACTGATAGAGGGGATAAGATGTTTTGTAATTTGTATTAATACTGCACATTTGCAGCATCTTCCATCAGATGGTTTCAAATCTTTATGCATG